TGAGGAAATTGAAGGATATGAATGTAAATTCCGAATTGAAAGATTATTTACGTCTGTAAACAGAGAGGACTTATTTTCAACGGAGTTCCACAACGTGTTTTTCAGTTGAAACTAAACTATGGAACATTTTCAATTCATATATTGATGAAAATGCTTGAAGAAGTACAGCAAAGACAAAAATAATCTGGTTTATGCTTGCTCCCGTGTAATGAAAACTAAACGCAGAATGAGGCAGAATAGATGTTTAAGAAAATGTCAATGAAAATAAATTTCCTAAGCTGGAAAAGAATGGGAGCTGATACCCAATGAGTTTGAAACTATTAAAAGTTTTTTTGTTTGCTATAAACAGCCTCGGGCAGTGATGGGCAATTAATTTTTACAGGGGGCCTTATAAGAAACCTGAACTGTGGTTAAGGGCCGAACGCACGGTAACTTTACTATGCGCAATATTCATTTATTCTTATGTAAAAAGATATACATAATATATTTTACCTGCTACTAGTTATCATTAAGTTAAAGCTTAGTTATTACGTAAGTGTCTATATAAATAAAGGAAATTGTAGTGTAGGGCAAGTGTGAGAATAATCTCGCCAAAAATCAAGTTCTGACTGACAACACACTCACATACCGGATTGTCGAAAGGGCCGGATGTGGCCCGTGGGCCGTAAGATGCCAAGGTCTGGCCTAGGGTTTTACACTTCGTCATACTGAACACATTTTTGGAGACCTATTGCAAAAGCTACATCGGGCGTCTGTAGTTCTTAGGACACACCATTTTAAATACACGGATCTAAAACTAGCGAAATATTTTCGCACAGCCCTGAAAGTAAACGATTCCAACAAAGGGTAAAAACTACAAATACATATAACTTTCAAGGCGGAAAAGACACAAAATTACTAGGTTTCTATGATAAATGGCAGAAAAGGAGAGAGGGAATTGGAAGGTTTGATGGCAGAAAGTAAGATTAATTATCATCAAATAGCTTGATTTGGTGTAAGTTGAGAGAATAGTTCAGTGAGTCATTTAGTGCTTGGTGAAGAGCAGATACCGCATTAGTTGATTGCGACTTAGGCCTAAATCCCTCTGATCCCAACCTCAGGCTATTATGCTTTCTTCTCTGGTACAGGCATTGAGATATACTTTAGATTTCTTACAAATTTCAGTCAGACTAAGCCCTTGATAATTATAAGTCCACATTTAATTCACGAATAGCTTTTGGATATTTTCGTCCAAGATCGCCTCGGTCCAATCAACGATAAAGAATCTGTTCTCGTTTATTATAATGTGTTTAAGCAATTCACGGAGATTCAGAAGCAAAAACCTAAATCATCTTAACAAACAATGTACCTAACAGGAAATTAAAAATAAATAAAGATCAAGCTTACCTGCATCGATAATTCCTTGGGCTAAAATTGCGCCAAATTTCGAAATTCCGTCTTCATGTTTATCGCTTATACATTTAGCGTATGTTTCCCTAAGTGATTTAATCTGCAAACAAATATGAAAAAAGATTTAGCATTCACAATACAAAGTGAGACCTTGATTAAAAGTGGGCTTCTTAAATATGCAGTTGACGCTTGGATGCAAACAACTGACCATGTTGAAAACTCATCTTGTACAAAACCGATAAAGATGCAAACGGCCACTAAAGTCAAAGTTTTTAATTCTTCCTAAAAGATCAGAAAACAACGTTGAACTTTATGAGCTTGTTCAAAGTTTATCCTACACGCTAAAGAGAAGGGATGGACAGGCAAAAAGTTTTTCTAGACAGCCACAAAAAACTTTCTAGATAGCCACAAAAAATATTAAGTTGGTCACTATAATAAACTTTGCTTTGCTAACAACTGCAATGAAAAACGAATCTGACAGTGGTTTAAGACTTTCTTTGTGCAATAATCTGACAGGAATGTAAGAGGTATGGTGAAAGCTTTTTTAATCAAACAGCCAACAAAAACTGATTCTGGTAGTGTAAACTTTTCTTCCATCAAATTTGATGAAAGGCAAACAAAAAAGTCGAGGGCAAATCAACAATAGAAAAAATTTTCCTAGGTTCTTTAAGGAACCTTAGCATAAGAATGAGCTTCAACGCACAAATGGGTTTTATAATGACAAATATACGGGGGAAAGTTAATTTCAGCCATAAACAATTTGCGGAGACAAATCGTAGAATTTCACTGTAATGTCTTTTCCTCGCTTCTAAAGCGGATAAATCCTTACATTCGTTAATTTTTTACTACTGCTTGAATCTCTTTGTTTTTCCATTGAAGTATGAAATTAATGTTTGCGTGTAGCTGATTTCATGACGTCGCGCTTCAACTTGAGTAAGAGAGCAAAGTTGGGATATATACTTAAAACTGTACAAAAGTTCTTTCACAATAATTTACCTTGTGGCAGGTGGCTTCCGTCTGTTGTATGGCGATTAAAGCTGAAGCAATCAGCGCTCCCTGTATTTTGAAATTGGTAATTACAATTAACTGTATATTAATATACAGTAAGTGCAAATAATTGAGAGTTTTATGACTGTATACTTTCACCCAAGGTAAGAGCTCTTATTTTTTACAGAAACGATTTCAAATAAAGTCATGTAAGAGCACTATTGTTAAATTTTAAGATACGTGCCCTTTTGAAAAAAGTGCATAGAAAGTAAACGAAATCCACCCTTAAAGACGACATACAAGTAAAAAAGGTGAATTATTAAATATAATTTCATTTTATGTAACTTACATTGAAAAGCTTTGGCATTTTCCTTTTTTTTTTTTAATTTTGCTTATTTCTAGTATCTTGGTTTAAACTAAGATGAAAACCGAATATAGAGCAAACCGAACAATGTTATTAACAGACAGGAGTATTTACAGACAGCCCTAACATTTTGAAGAGATGGCTGAAAAGAACGCGAAAACAAGGAAGCATTTAATAGGTGCTAGGCCCATTTAAACTTACTTGTCGGACGTAATTAACAGGGTCATTTATCATCGGCTCGACCAATGCTATTGCTTCCTGTAAAAAGAAAAGAATAGATGATCCAACTGTATCATCTATCGAGCAATAGAAAAAGCAGGATAGAAAATATGAGTATTTTTATACGATTGGTTTGGCTTTTGGCTTCTTGCTAATTGGTTATTATCCGTAGGATATTAAGAGCTAGAGAATAATTGAACAAATTGTAATACAGTTTAAACTTTCGAGAGAGCCATGGCTTTCGATATGCTATGAAAATTGAGAAACTGGCAGAATGATTAAAATCAATATTTGGGTGCACATATAAAAGCTTCATTGTGGCAAATTATTGGAAAATCACTAAGTTCTCTACAGGCTGGAATTCATAATCCCTAATTCTCAACAAAACTAGCCCAGCAGCTACAACACTTTTCACATGGGTTTTCAATGTACAACTTTTCATTCAGGTTTTTTTGAAAAGATAATAATGAGGGAGGGGAGAGCAAAACCTGCAAGCATACTGGCACAACAATTAAAGGTACAATACACTGGCAGGCATATCTTAAAAAGAGAGAAATCCGAGTGGATGTAGTTGAGTTTTGATGCATGAAAGATCCCATCAAATTTAGTTTCAGAAAGGTCTTCCCTACAAAACTATCTTATACACCTCCAATGTGAAGTGAGAATTTGTCACGTGACAATGCCGCATGTTTAGCGGAAGTGTGCCCAATGTCGAAATAAAAATGTGCCCATTGAAAGTTTATTTCCTTTTCCTAATATATCAAAGCTCCTTCCTTGCGGAAATCCTTTGAGCATTGGTGCATACACACCAGCGGGAACTTTTTGTGACGTCAGAGTAGCAGATTTTAGGACAGAAAGACCTTAAAAACTGCACAGATATACCTAGAATATTTCAGTACATAGCATCCAAGCTTGATAGCTTTTGAAGAATTCACTAAAAAAGTTTCCTTTTTTGCCTCTTCATGGAGTTAACAGGGCTTACTTTGCTATAAACCTAAGACACTGTCCTAACCAGCGAGATTTCAAAGAATTAGACAGAACAACAACTCTGACGCACAAGTTGCTCGTCTGACGTGAAAGATTAACAAACTTTGAAAAAACAGAAACTTGATTCTTTAAAATTTTTCAATTCTAGTTTAAACAACACTCAAAAGTATTGAATCTAGGATTACTGTTTATCATAATGAGCTTGGAGGAATTCGTTGGCGTAACATTGATGACTGGGTCGTCTTGATAGGTCTTCAGAATTACGTTTGTTAAGATCGAGTAGGCTATTGCAGTTTTTCTGTGAAATTGCACAGAAGAATAGCATTCTCTTTATGATAGTTGCAATCCTACCAAAGGTCAGGAGCAGTATAACTGCAAACTACCCCCCACCCCCCTTCACTTACATCTATCAGCGTAGACGTCCAGTGGTCTACCCTCCCTCCACTAGCAGACGTAATAAAGGATATGGAAAAAGAGCCTTTCTCAAGATATGAGACTTGAACAAGTCTCGAGATTAGCAGACTCTTTTTCAAATTTTCATTCGGAAGGTACTGTTATCAGTAACTCACTTTATGTCCTGTTCCAGCACAAGCTATCCCAAGAGCCAGTGCGGCACCGTATCGGACGTTTGGGTTATAACTTTGTGATAGCAGCGATACAACACTTGGACATTGCTCAGGAGTCCTATGATAATGATAATCATGATTAAAATACCAGCAATAACGTTCATTACATGTAATTTCCTCATTCACAATATGCGTTTTATCAAGGCTATGGCTACTTCCTCCTTCTATATGCGATTTAGCAATGCTATGACGCTAGCCGAGAACCTCAGTATCAGAAGAAACGGGTAGCATAGATTGTCAAACTACATATTAACACACTGCTCCATCAAAAATAGAAGTGGAAAACAATTCTAAAGTTGCATTATAAACACTTTTTTTGCTTCATTTCTTCTCTTCTTTCAAATAACGACCCAATAAAGACAAAAAAGGAAAAAAAGATCTCTGCACTGAGAACAAATCTATAAAACTTGAAACGAAAAGATGAACACTTGCATACAAAATTATCCTTCACATTTTTAATTCCTTGAGGCAACTTGCTTAAGGTAATATAGTTACTGAAAGCAATAAACAGTGTTAAAGAAAGCAAGCTAGCAATCAGACAACAGCCGCAATGATTTTCTTATAGAAATGAAAAGGCGTTGTGACATAGTGGTTTGATGGAAAAATCCATAGCTTTATTCTTTATCTTGGTTAGGAAGGTCATGTTCACAGAGACTATTGTGATGAGTGACTGACGGTTTGAAATAATCGGCCATGTAAACTCATACGCTTTTAGGCCCACTTTATCTGCATACGACCTAACCCTAAAAGACCCCTGGAAAACCCTATTTATTAGCACTAAATAAAAAAAATTGAACTTATTTTCGAAATCAGCGATGTTTATTCTGTCTGAATCGACAAAAGAAAAATATCTGATCTCTATTTTTCAGTGGCACTTTAAAAACCACCAAGAGAATTAAGTGATGAAACCTCTAACCTCGATGCTTGAAAGATAATTTTTTTCATCCCTGTTTCCAACAAAATTCTTTTACAGTTAAAAATGAAATAAAATCTACAAAACACACAAATTCAGAAGTCAGCTTCGTTATACTCTCAGATGGAACTGGCAAACTCTAGGAATATTGCATACGTTTTTTGGCAGAAAAATTGGTATACGTTCCACCAATTATACAAAAAATCAACCAATCGACTAATGCTTTGGTATAGGGTTGGCCATGTAAATTGATAGGACTTTCTTCTTGCAAATTAAATGATAAGGTTAAAACAAGGCGTAGTTAGAGTCAAAAGCGAAGTATTTCTGATCCTTTTCGCCGTCAGAAGATAAGCTGGCTTCATATACCTGAATAGAATGAATCCTATCGACGTAACAGCGGCACGTCTGACGTCATCATCAACATCACTGACCTAGGAGACAAACAAAGAATGAGTAAGTAACCAAAAGCAAAAGTCCAGACAAATGACCTGACAGAAAGAAAGAACAAACTAATTTTAAGGATACGAGAAACGCATGCTGATTATCAATCGAAGATAAGAAAAAATTGCAGAAAAGGAACACGTTCCCTTAGCTACAGAGAAAAGAAACATAGTGAATCCGTTTATAAAAACGTTCTTAAAACATTTTGACTAGGATCTTTGCAAGCAATAACAACCAAATGGAGAATTCTATAAGATTAAAAACGGGACTTTGAAACCCCAATAACTGCAAGTACTTGAATTAGCTTCACAACAGTTAACTCTAATAGACAAAAAAACCTGGTAAGATAAGTGACTTTGTTGTCAGGTTTAGAATACATCTACGTCATAAGATGATTTTTCACATTTGACATTATACGTGATTTGTATAGAGACGAGATACATAACATCATATCTAGTGAATGCAAAATGCTAGTGAATTACAACTTAAGAAACCATAGTTTTAAAACTGGCGAGCATGGTTAAGTTTTTCTTCTGCAGAGAACACCAGCGTTCGTAACCTACAAAAACATTTCCTGTTTAGAAAATGCAGCTTTAACAAGAAAGCCCGATTCCTGAACAATTATCAAAATAAATTGGAAAGGTTTCCAATGAAGACTAGAAGGTGATAGAAAATGGGGATTTAGGAAAATATGCCGAGAGAAAATTTTTTTCTGCCCAATGTAAAAATCAAACACGCAGCTGATTGTCGAATGGACTGGTGGCGAGCAGAGACACATTTTCATTCTCTCTGGAAACTCGAAAGCGCATTGTTAAGGCCAATGAAATTCCGAAAGCGGCACTCTTTCTAGGGTAGTTGACAAATGGGAACATATAAATTTTTTAAACAGCAAACCTAAGCTTTTTAATCGATTAACTTAAAGCTTCTAAATGCTGCGAAATTGGTATTTTAAATTCTGTTCTGTTTGGAGTTGAAATTGGTAGCTCAAGTTCTGTTCCGTTTGGAGTTGTTCCTCAGCGTACACTTCTTATTGAATAATTGAAGAAAGAAAATGCCAATTACGAGCAAAAGCTATGCATACCCATTTTTTATACTTACCGCAACATGAAGTAGCTGCCTAATTGCTCTGTTGTTCCCAGTTCCAGCGTACGCTAAGGCTGTTGTGTACATTCCGCTTCGCCTTAAAATTGGATCCTAATAAAACAAACACAGATCTCATAACCAAGTTAATAATGTCTGAAGCATGCCATGACAATGTTATTCAACTGCTTATAAAAATCAAGGATTCTGTACAATTCAACGAAACACGGAATAACCTCATTTTGTTTACAATATACGCAAAGGGGTGCAACTTTTTCTAAACATAAATTTCGTTTTACTTCTACACTGAGATACAAATTTTTTTCGGTATTGTTTACATCAAGGTAGTCCGAGAAGCTGACATTTGCAAACAACCTTGCCGCTTTGGCGCAAGATTTGAACCTTATAATCTAAAGCACTGACAGGGCGACTAAATTCTTGAGCCCAACAACAGGGGTTGTCAGGAAGGAAGGGAATTGAAATTTATTTTTGGAACATTTCACAACCTATTTTAATTCATTATGCACCTATCTCATGATTAGGTAGGCAGGATAAAAAGAAAATATATTAAAACTAAAAAACTCTGATATATTCTATCCTTAATCTTTACACTAGCATTTTAAAGGAATTGCCTCCAACGTGTAATTTTCATTCTCCCAAAATTGCACTAACTGTGGCTGAGCCAACCGTTTTTCTACACAATCCAGCCTCGTTTATTATGACCTCACTTTAATGATAAATAGAGATTATGCAAAATTCTTCTAAAAGAGAGGGCAATGGTCTCCGCACACAGTGGAGGGCAGACGGTTCCGATACGGATATAAAAGATGGGAAAATTACAGACTCAATGTGAAGCCTGTCTATATCATGCAACCAATATAGCTTGCAAGCAATTTTCAGCACTCGGGTGTTTCAGTTTTGAAGTAGCATTCAGACATGTAGACTCAGATATTTCACTGGTTTTGAAAAATGTGCTTACTTGGTTTAATCTAAAACGTTGGTTTCAAAAGAAAAGGCTGTATGTGTAGCTAAATAAGGAACTTAAAAATTAAATAATTTACTTTGTCAGCTGTCAGGCTCTCGATCAGGGCGTCTGCTTCTTCCATTCTCCCGTACATGGTCTAAGAAAAAACAATTCAACTGGTTCAAAGGCTCTAAAAGTATTACTGTTCAAAATACAACATACTGCGGTCGAAACGTGGTTAAATTGTTAGGATTCGACTCTAAATTGTTATTGAGATTCTCTTTCAGTTCATAGGACGGATATCTTCAGTATGTATTTTGTAACCCAAGCTTGGTTCCTTTTTACTGTATATAAAAAAATTTATACATAGAACTTTTGAATGTTTTTCACGTTTTTTTCAAGATTTTAAAGGATTTCAAGGTGCAACTTTGAATTATGAATTGAATTGATATCATTTAATTTCGTACTGATCAACAAAATTGTCAGTGAACTAACATCTTGTCTAGCAAAACCAGGTTTGGCACACGGCAAAATTAATCAAACTTTTCAACCAACGCACGAATGTTTTAGGGTTCTAAAAAAATTATCATGCATAACAGCTTTTCTATATATTTTTTCAATTACTCTCAACCGGTGTATAAAACGTAAGACATGAAAAATTCAAAAGCGTGGAGCCAAATTATAAATTTATTGATTTGATACAGTCTCGTATAATGTAGAGACAACTGGAACAATGCCCCTAGAAAAACCAAATATGCTCAATCTTTAAAAAAAAATAAAGACCTTCGCTGAATTCAAATGCACCTGCGACCTTTCCAGGCAGTATATTAGTAGCGTTAGATTCGTGGATTAATAAAAAAAATTTACAATTATCTTGATATGTTGTTAGTTTTTAGCTTGTGTAAATTAGTCCTAGTCCTAGTTCTTGATTCATTGCAGTGCGTAAAACATTCGAAATTGAAAAGTTCCTAAGAATAAGAATAAAGAATTTAATCTTCGGTATAATAGGCTTCTCAAATGTTGCGGCCTACTACATGCAGGCTCCATATATTGATATAAAAACGATCAATGTAAGTAAATTGTACCAGGAAAAAGTTTTTCTAAAATAATTAACGACGTTTCGAGCATAGCCAAGTTATCAAGTGTATCCATATATTGATGTTCATGATGAAAAACGTCTGCCTCATCTCGATCAAATGCTACTTAAACATTGAATAATATAATTGTTGAAAGAACAAGATTGAAAGAACAGTAGAACAAAACTAATTTCCAAGATGTTCAAACCCCGGATTCTAATCATTAGTTGATTATATAGATTTTTCGCTGTAAAATAGCTTTTTGATATTGCGTATGTTTAATTTCTTCGTGCTTTCGTAATTAAAAATTGTATCATTTAAAACTGAGTTGATATTAACGTTTGACAAGTTGTTGTAGCAGTAATTCTATTAACTTTTATTGTTATTTTTATGTTGTAATTAGGTTAGAGGCCATCTTGGCCTAGATATCTTTTTAATAAATAGAAAAATAATAATTACCCACTTTAATTTTGAAAGAATTAAATCATTGCCAAGCGCGGAAGATTATTAACTAAATAAATAAATCAATTAAATTAATTGAAGAATTAATTTCTTAATGGAAAGAAAATTTGGTTAAAACGTTTTTATGGGGAGAGAAAAACGTTCCATTGACAGACTTATGTATTAAAGGTGGAAAGAAAAGTAACTCCACCGAGCCGGATTCGAACCAGCGACCTAAGGATATCTGACTTCATAAGTTCGCACTACAGTCCTCCGCTCTACCAACTGAGCTATCGGTGGGTCATACACATTGGCAGCAATACTTATTAGTATACGGTAGCAACGTCTTACCAGTGCAATTCCAACGGAGAGACCTCGCAATATTTTTTCGTGTTGTGTTTCTTTTGAATACTGAAAAAGAATATGATCTTAAATTTAAAAAAGGGATCTGGGGAAATAAAATAGATTACTTTAACACACCCCTTTTTAAATCCGACAAAGTGGATGAGCCCTATCCTTTATTTGCCAACAAAGCTCCCCCCCCCAAAAAAAAAGGCAAAAAGTGTAGAGGAGCTGTTTAATCTCTCTCTGTTACTCGGCCTTGGTGACTTTCTTAACCGAAAAAGAGCACTCAATAAAAACGCGCCTCTTTTAAGAAAAGGGCACTTGATCCTAAAGAAAGGGCACTTTTGCTGACAGAAAGTTGTGCATGTTCTGACAAAGTGGCAACGTTTCCGACAAATTCTAAATTGTTTTTGTATTTGTTTCTTGTGAACCATTTGATTCTTGAAACACTTTCATGATGAAACCGAAACAAATTGCTATTACCCTATTTGCTTATAGTGGTCAAACTCACCGATTCAGGGATATATACAAAAGTTACGATTTAACTGAATTACTTTGACTCAATTCATTTGCCAACAAAACAGACAAACAAATAAAAACATAGCATAACACAAAATAAAACAGGACACGGTCACAAAGGGTTCTACGTCAATAGAACCAGAAACCAAACAGAATCTTCTCCGCCTTATCAATTAAAGAAGGATCTTTTTAGCAGTTTCCTACGGTTGAGGGTGATCAGTACAATGGGTTCCTTTTTGGTGACCTTAGGGCTCGATTTATTTCAGATAGATTCTTATAAAAAATGTGCGTATGAATCCACTGCATCGTAGTTTACAAGATCATTACAAGACCAGCCTGGTTTATAATGAAGTGCAATGCATTTCTTACCAAAACCATTTCTTCTATAGCTTGAGCATTTTTCGATCCTAACATAACAAGCCCCATGGCAATACCAGCACCCTCTCCTGCAAAAAAGATACAAACATGTCACGAACCTTGCAATAAATGGCAAATACCTTAATTCTGATGTCAAATACCCTTAATAACTTTGTAATTTTCTATACACCACTAAACTCCACCTGCCCCAAAACGATAATATCGTTGCTTTAAAGTTGAAGGGCGTTAAGCCAAAGTGTATAAAACATGCTTATTAAATTAAGAGCAAATTCGTTTTATGGTTCTTCCTTTGTCGTCGACCACAGGATTCTCCCTCACCTCCTCTAAGCATTGAGGCTCACTGTGCTAGCATAGGTTAATTCGTTCTAATTGGAGATAGCTGTCTCACGGTCCTGATTGGCTCTCTCAAGCACAGTGTGACCTCGATGCTACGAGGAGTTTCGAAGAACTCAAATTGGAGTTCATCATGGATTCTCCAATTTTTACATTTATTACAAAAACATTACAAAATATTATATCTTTCACTCCCTATATCGTTTTTTCAAACTCGCAACTAAGAAAAGCTGAACGCAATGCAAAGAGAACTGTAAATCAGATAGCGACTTACGACAAACCAGACAACTAATAAAAAGGTTTTGAAAAATAAAAAATCAAGTCCTAATTACAGAGCGCACAAAAAATTGATTGTAAAACATGTATGTGCATTCTGATTTGGGGAAAACTTTTGCAAGAAGGTTGTGTAACTGGGGCCACATTTCAAAAAAAGGATAAGACCAAAACTTGCGGCAATTACTTATGAGACTGAAAAGTTTTGAACCCAAAATATGAAATGAAGGTCTTCTGTTTAAATTGCGACAAAACCTGCTTCTTGTACACGAACAACCAGTTAATGAGAATCAAACTTTTTGCCATTTACTGAAAGAACTCTCACCGGGCAAAGATACGATTACAAAATATCATTATGATCAAATTGTAACCTCTCCATACCATGATTCTTCCATTGAAAGTATCTTCTTACAACGGACTCTTAAACTGACAAAAAACTCTGTCCCACAACTCTTCCTTGATATGATCCCCCCCCCCCCCAAGAAAAAGCAGCCTATAGACAATCAATACATCCACAAAATAGACCCAGAGTCCTTCGGGGCCCATAGTGGTCCTTTTCATAAGCAGGGTATATAATGTATTAAAATACCTGTTACGGCATCATCTTGATATAAGTTGAATTTCAGCTGCTCGTAAACATCTAGAAGCCGGCAAAAAAGATCAATTTATGTCTCCCATCATATGATATATACCACTAATAAACTACAATTAGATATTATACATTTAAGAAAATGATTTACACTTGAAATATAAAATCAAAATAAAGATATAATGGCATAATGCACAAAGACAATATGAAACTAAATTATAATCTCTTTTTAAATAGGAACATGGAATGAAAAATAAAAGTAGTTCCCTTGGAACTTATCTCTTATCTGATGATACATAATGCTATATTAGTTGCTATATAATATGTACAGCAATGTCAAAATTACGTTGTTCATTAAACAGAATTCTTTTAGATATTGTTTACAAGGTAATTAAATATAAACCGTTGTCAACAGGATAGGTCATTTCAAGAAGATTCCTCCTTTCGTTCTTTACCCTTGTTCAGGGGATAGCAAGTGGGCTGTTATTCAAGGGGGGCGCCTTTAGGCAAAAACAAAAACCAATATCTATGGACTCTGTACCATTAGCATACACGTATTTATCAAGGCAATTTTACTTCATTCAAGCAAAAATTATCTTTTAGAAGATAACATGTCAATACAACATTGGGTTACATAACACATTTATACTAAAAAGCGTTGAAATTTGGCAGATGGGCTAAATACCTTGTCTCTGTGTTCCCATGGCAGCAAGACCCAAACCAAGGCAACCACCATGCCTGACCATCTGTAAATAAAACCAGGCGGCTATTAACGCGATTGAAAATAAGTCAGACTGTGGGACAACTGGTGCCAGATTTGTTTATTCAATTAGCAAGTGATCTTCACGTTCAAAAGAAATTTCTCCATCAGGGAAGGGTTGGATTTGAAAAATTAGCAACAGATTCTGCATGGATGTATGAAACCCATAAGCAATGGCTTTCTTACAATCCGATTTTAGGCAAAAAAGCGCGAGAAACCACACCAACAGTGAAAAAGGTTGCTTAAAAAAGTTGGCCCTGTTAAATGGCAGATGGCAACGCCCAAAATTTTTGGCATTCCTTGATTGAAGATTAATGTTTATATATTTTGTTGTAACATAAAGCAAGTGGCAATTTATGTGATATTTTAGTATTTTAGCAGTTTAGAATTTAGCAGAAAAGTTCAGAACTTATATCGTGCAATAGTGGATATTTTTACAGAGACGTTTCTAAGCAAAGATCATCATAAATCTCATCATAAATCAACTACAGCTTCACAGCAATTTCTCCTTTTCCTCAGGAAGAAAATAATTTTTTTTTATAACAGTTAGGTGATAAAGTAGTAGTGTCATATGAGATGGTTTGTTACTCTTGTGAAGATGGACTATCATGTTGTATAGAATAAATTGTAATAATCATGGAAATAATTTAAAATTAAGGAGATCTCTTAAATCAATTCTGACGTTAACATAATCAGTTTGTTTTGTGTTTCATTTTGGATCTATTTAACTAAAATTACTTTATCTTGGACATTTATAACAAACGAGGAAAGCTTTCCCTTCATCTCTGTTAATTTTGTTTTAATCAAATACTTTAGATTACCTACTCTCTAAGAGGACATAAAAAACAATAAATATTTATTAGACGCTAGTCTACATTGACAAATTACCTGTCACTATATTGGTGTCAATGACGCAGCAGATTGTGAAATCAAAATTCATAAGTTTAACGAAAATAATATAAAAACTTTACGAAACATATATTCAGGATGCTTGGACCCATTTTATCTAGCTCATTGATGGCAATTCTTAAATAGTGGAAGCTTACGTCAGAGGTTGCTCCTTTTAACTGCTGAAGGAGGTACTCAACAATAGTGTGACCATGATTCGCGTGTATTAAACCTAGAACGATAAACAGGAGCTAGTCAATGATCTGGTCAAAAAGCAATATCACAAAAAACGGCGGGTATTATATGAATAAAGATAAGAAAAGGCAACACAGGCAAAATTGGATAGCATTATAAACATCAGAGATATTTTCTTATAAACTAGAGGTTTTGACTTCTAGGATAGGTTTTTTGCTTATTTTCTACCCGGAAATTGTATATTTTTCCGTATTGTGGTGAAAAAATACACACCTTTTATTAGATGCTTCAATTCTGACAAAAAGCTTCTACAATACGTTCAACACCCCCCGAAAAAGGTTACTGTGCAATTAAAATAGCATTTGATATGGACAAAATATTGCAAGCAGTAAAAAGCATGGTGCATGTATGTTGAAAAGCACGTTGAAAAGCAAGGTGTATGTCTGTACAATGGCATTTGGTTGAGCATGGTGCAGTAGGGATGCTAAAGATGTTTACATAAAATAGATTCTGTGGGGATGTTTTGAACGTAAAGATGACCACTGAAGAGTAAAAGAAAAAGTATCGAATGGTTAACGTAGATTCTTATGTGAAACTTGTTATTCGCACAAATCTACTCAAACTTATACGCTTAAGTATCCGATGCCTATATCATACAATGTACAGTTGACATCCGCTATCTCGAACTCTGAAGGGAAACGAAAAAAATTGTTCGAGATAGCGGATGTCAACTGTATATTGTTGGGAGAATCTGAATTTGGAAAATATAGAGAATCTGTTGAGCAAGTGCATTTTCGATCACATACGGCATCCTATGTCTTGGATATAAATTTGCACTTGGATAAAAACTTCCCTTTAGCTTTTAGTCTTTATCCAACGTTTATGCTCTAAGTAGTGTCGTACACAAAGTCTACTTCAGTCACCCGGGTGTTATGTTTCTGCTCTTTCGTGTCATTTTGAAAGTTTGCTGTTTTTAATTTAACATGGCAAATATAACAACACCTGCTAAAAAACTGATATTTGATAGATATGAATCTATAAAAGAAATAAATCTCTAAAGCCAGAAACATAATGTCTCTGTCATATTTCTCTCTCATTTCCTGCTTACGTGCTTTTAAAACAGCTCTTTGCGACTTGAAGTAATGCGTCAAGAAGACTTTCGTAATTGAATTGATGTCAAACTAAACAGATAAAAACAAGACTTAAAAGGGGCTTCTTAGTTTCATCGGACAAGAAAGCTGTCTTACTGGCGTATTTAGCCCGTTAAAGTACGGTTTAAAAACTGAATTACTGTGTCGGATGAGCAAAGACTGGAATCTCAAGCTCTTAACACGTTTTAAGACGCATTCTGCTTTTGGTTTGATAATAAGCTGGGCTTGTTTTTTGGATTAATACTTAAAGGGTAGGGCTACAATGTACTTTTGAATTCGATCAGAAATCATCCTCGACCTTAACAGGCATTGCTGTCGTACCACAGTAAGACCCCAGCCGTCATTGAAACGGTTATATCTGTTTTAGTAATGACAGCTATCTGCTGTGATCGGTTTTAGTATTACACTGTACAATATAGCGACCGTTGAATAAGCTCTCAAAATGTGTTCTAGAAAGAGCTGAAGAAGCGAACTTGTAGTAGCAAATTAAAAATTAAAAGCTCTGTGAAAAGCATAATTGGAAATTTTGACTGAAATGAGGTAAACTAAGAAGTTTGTACTGAAAATTTAACGAGCAATGAAGGAATCAAAACTATTTGCAATTTGTATATGGGAACTCTTGTATATCTGGCAAGGAAAATTTGCATATCTGGCATTGACATTTCTTCTCTTATAGCTTTATTATGTAAGTACTTTGTTCTTCAGTCATTCAAAGGCATTTGACATGCATAAGTACAGCGAATCCAAAAATAACTTTTACCAAATTGATCAGAGCACGCGCACAAGAAAGGAATTGGAAACTGCTCACGTGAAAACTCTGCGCGATGCTCTAGGATTTCACCGATTTGCAGAAAGGCGGACACTGTTCACGTGTTTTTCTCTGTGAGCAATTTGATTGGTCAGCCGCTCCTGGACGAGTGGCTGTAAGCCACTTTTACCTGTGTCGAATGCCTTCAAGCTGCATTTTGAACTGTGTTTAAATGAGCTGTGTTTAACTTCAATCCTTGTACAATTAAATGGACACAGAGCAAATTAATACCAGGATTCGTGTTGGTATTAATCAACCGTTCCTACATGCTATTGTAACTGTTTCCGCAATTGGGCACAATCAAACAATATATAAAAAATGGTTTCCAAATACCTAATGCATATAATCCACCACCATCTTGGTAGGCACTACTTGATCCACCATCTTTAGGTAAATAGGATGCCATTAATTTGAGAGAATCCTTTTCGTGTCCCTAAAATATGAAGAGCAGCATGTTGTTTTTTCGATAAATCACAAATAGGACAACAACGAGACAAGCGTTCCGCATCACCTCAAGCCTTTACAGTCTGCATATAACGATGTACGGAAAAATGCCAAAACAAGCTGAGTAGTTTGCTAGTTTTAATGTAAAAACAGTTATGACTATCAACAAACTTCCATGGTTACTTGATACATATTGCTCACTGATTTTCTGAGACAAAACCCTGTCTCAAACTCCCTTCTCATTTATCATACCCACCACCCCCCCCCCCCCCGTACACTCCAGCCTTTGCCTATATCAGCCCCAATTTCTTCTAACCTGACAATGATCCCATCCCCCGCTAACAATTTCTGGGAAATTTTATAACCCTGTTTTCCCAACCCTTTTTAGGGTTCTACAACAGTATAGTAGTCTGAATACTACCTTGTGTATAACACCAAGACTTGCAGTGGCGCTAAATTTTGCCCAGTTCGTAGCCCTTGACAGCCATTCAAGATTATTCCTGTGAACAGAAAAGAAAGGATGAAAAAAACAGGATTTTCAACAACTTTCAATTCAATGAAATTTTTATTTCTAATATGCAGATAATATCTAAGGCGATTAACAAAAATGAAAAAGAATGTAAATTTTTATTTCAAAAAGAGTTAGAAAATAGGCCAATAACGATAATAGCATGTAACATGGACAACCAAGGAAGAATATCAGCTACTTTTCAGAATGTAACAGTACAAAGAAATACTGCATCGAAGTTGGGAAATTCCGCGGCCTATTATTCTACATTGTAAAACTGGGTTATGTCCAGGGCCTATTATTTCGTCATTTATAACATAGAGGTATTGATGCGGAGTTGCTTGATAATCGCTTTAAGCGTGAAACAAGGGTTCAGCTGCTCGGAACCATTCTGTTATACGAGCAAAAGTAGTGATTGCGCTTATATTTTCACAAATGAAACACCTTAATTACGACTAATCTGCCGTGGCAAATGATCCTGAGAGGATCTATATTTTAATAATCGCAATAAAACATGACAATATAGTCTCACCTGAGAAATGCATCACTAGTTGTGCCACTGTGCATAAATGCGTTGGCAATCACGGTCGCTGTATGACATACGGAATTCCTTATTGCATCCTAAAATGGAAGACCATTTTCAAAATCGTGAACAAGATAATGTGACTGTTTTATGACTGTCATTTGCATATTATAAAAACCATGTTTGATTGAAGTTTCAAGCTAAAAATTATTTGCATTAGCAAGCAGTAAAAAGGAGGCCGGTTGAGTCTAAAACAGGATATGGTTGAACAATTCCTTATTTAAAGAAATAGCTCCCTATCAAAAAAATTGTGGTATAGTTTTAGTTGTATGATGTTGTATGGTGTTGTTTGGTGTTGTATGGTGTTGTATGGTGTTGTGTGGTGTTGTATGGTGTTGTATAGTGTTGCATGAAGTTGTATAGTGTTGTATGGTGTTGCTTGGTTAAATTCAATAATTGTAGCTTTTTGAAAGGAAATACTAGATCTACAATAGTAGGGTAGTGTTATTTATCACCCAACTTCTCATGTTTTCATGAATTAAACAGTAATCAATCATTATAACGAGAAAACACCTCATCCAAAAGATCAGGCCAATAGGCTGAAACGCTTCATAAACATGCCGTAACACATTCAAAAAATTGTTCATATTTTAGGTTGTTTCCGCCCAAAATTTGCACCAGCAATGATTTAACTTGAAAGTGTAGATTTTGAAGTCAGAAACATAAAACCTATTTTTTAAATAGCTGATCATGAATTGAAAGTGGAATTGACTAATTTTGTTAGTTGCCCATATTGAATCCTATATTTCAAAGAGCCAACATAACCTCTTTAAATGGAGCTTTAAGAAACTCGCCAGATTATAGTCTGCATATCAAATGAAACCAAAAACATTTCAGGCAGCCTTTTTGTTTAAAATAATATCTGTCACGTTTCACAACGGATCTTTTAAAGCAGCATTACATAACTGATCAGTGCTATGAAAACGATGTCTATTATGCATCAATTGTGTACTGTCCATTCTTATGAAATGTACATCAGGCATCCTCTGAATAGCACTGCATTTGGTAGCATCGATTGGCTTTTATATAACTTCCGTTCATATCGTTTGTACGTATGGGTCATTCACAACAGGTTCAGCTCACCTTTGTATTTTTCAGAATAAGCAAATCTGCGTGATTGTTTCTGATTAAGAATTCAAGGTGCAGCTGAATTGTGCACTCTCCACCTAGAATTGTTATAAGCTTTTCGATTCTTTCTTGAAGGATTTTCTCATCATCTGTCTATAAAAACAAAGGTATTCAGATAACAGAGACAGAACACGAGAAAGGGGATTTAACGACTTACTATTCTCAATGACAAATATTTACAAAATGGAGTGGGGAAACGATTTATGACGAAGCTTTCACTATAGGACACCTCTACATTGCCCGCGACGGGCACTCCTACAAGATAGCTATGCATTTACCAATGTGTTCCAAGTTCTTTTTGCACTTGAAAAACTTCAAAGAACCTCATGCACTTTAAAAAAATACCTTAATTTCAGTCATGGTGTTCTAACAGGTTTTCACCAAATCCCTAACTCTAAGATTCTCTGCTTTGAACTTAAGTGGCACAGAAACAACAAACTAGACTATAAGATAGGCAAAATCAAGGACATAATTGCTATAGTTACAAGCTGCTATCTATATCAAAGTTCACATATGAATGTCAACAGTAATTTGTTAACAAACACATCAATAGACGTACTAAATCCTTTTTCGTTGGCTTTTTCTCAGCTGAGCTCTCTGATGCCTTTTCCTGATCATCTTTCGATTTGTTATCATCGTCAACTTCCATGGTGCTTTGGCTGCAAAGGGCGGAATAGTAAACATAGCATCGTCAAAAATAACATTAGGAAATAAGCAGCCCTTTTTCGTAGCAAGCAGATATCTTCTGTGATCTAAGTCGAAAAGTTTAACATTCAACTGGAGATATCCTTTGGCTAGAAGCAGTCGTGTTCATTCTCTAGAGAGAATAAGCCTCAAAAAAAGCTAGATATAAAACGAATAACGCATATTCTGAGCCTGAAACTCTCGTGAAAGTTGGTCATCGTAATTTGGACAACCATCAGAATGATGACGACCATTTTAGTCTGCCTCTTTTACATTCAATAATGCCTCCTTTACATTCAATAATATCTGTTTCAAATTCAATAATGCCTCCTTCGCACTCAATAACGCTTCATTCGCTTTCAGCAATGCCTCATTTGCATTCAATAAAGCCTCTTTCACATTCAATAATGCCTCCTTCGCACTCATTCATTCGCATTCAGCAATGCCTCATTTGCATTCAATAAAGCCTCTTTCACATTTAATAATGCCTCTCTCACATCCATTAATTCTTCTCTAACATTCAATAAAGCTGCTTTCACAAAAAAGTAATCCTTTTTTAGCATTCATAATTCAACGTTCAAAAACAACTAGGACAATCGAAATAAGAGGCCAGAATAACATGGCCCCTCAAAGCAAGAAATTCTAAGCCTCTTCTCTTACGCTCCATTCTAACTTACTTTGTGTCTTCGGGTTTCTTTTCTTGACTTTGAACATCTGGTTCTCCAATTGGAACAGGCGAAATGGCTTTCAGTGAGTTGATAATAGCCGTGAGAATCTGCTGTGACGCATTTTCGTATAAATCAAACCCTATTTGATATGCAGTTAAGGTTCGAACCTACAAAAAACACCATCCAAAAATTAGGATGGAAAAAAATCGTGACAAGAAGAATAATAACAGTTAAGATGCTAAGATATCCAAATGTAGTGGTGCTCATTTTTTACTAAACTTATGATTTCTTCAAAAAGCTCTTGGATATGAGATGTTGGAAGGCAAACATAAAATGAAAGAAATTGTGAAAAGTGTAAAACATTGCTCTATTGAAAAATTTCAATGAAAAAGATTTGCGCTCAATTGAAAAACGTCATTAAAAAGATTTATAAATAGAAGTTTCAAAAGATTTATAAATAGAAGTTTCAAATTGAAACAAGATTGACTTTATGAAACTACAGTTGTAAAATTCTCACTCTATACATGAAGAAACGTACTTTTATCCTGCGTTTGAATAATAAAACTTTTGAAAAGAAAAAAAAAGATTTTGCAAAATAAGACGAAAATTCTTACCTCGTTATCTTTAACTAACTTTTCCAAAATATCAGCTACCGAATCGGGGTCATCCAAGAAAACCAGACACTACGGAAAAACATCGCGTTACAAAACATTACGTTTTTATCGACAATTTCCTGAATCTATAGTCTATAAACTTTATTTGAAATCTTCATCAGTTGTTTATCAATAGCGTATCTTAAAAACTTCAAAACTTATCAGTTATCTGTTTTTATGTAAACAAATGTGTTTGTGGCGATATTATGTTTATTAATAGGAGATACGGAATAAATAAATACATCAATTTATGTGCATTATTCTGGTATTATTATTGTTTATTATTATGTGCAATTATTGAAAAATTACCAGAAAATGCATTAGGTTTTATCTGAATCTAAAACTATCTGAACCTATTGGTGCTACAGAATTCAAAGTAAAAAACTGGGTTCCCACAAATCATAGAACTTATAAAATTTTCCGTGAAAATATAATGGAAATCCACAAAGGAACTGTTGCAGCTAATGCTGACGAAATATTTCATTTAGAAGCTGAACAGAGTCAATTAAATTTAAAGTCATAGTTTAAATAAAACCTTTTATTTCGAAAAAACAACAGAAACCTAAAATTTCACTTGACATTGGACCAACTAAGGACGGAAATGTCTAGCATCTGTCTTTAAATCGACAAACAACATCAACCCGTTTAAACATAGCATCAGATAACACAAAAAGAGTGGGAAGATTGCATAAATATGTACTACTCATAAGCAACACCTCGTCGTCTCTCAAATTCATGATTCGACTTTACTTGATCAAAACTTCTTAGAGGACCATTATGGATATAAGGTCAATTTTACCATTCACTGCAATCTCTGTCACTTCAATTTTACAGGTACCTATCGCAAATCTATCAACATTGTATTATATTCTAGCTTTAAGACATTGTGAAGATTACTTAACCTTGGTTGGAAACCGATACATACATAAATACATGCATTTCATATTTGGTATAAAAATTCAAATAAGCACTTGTTGAGGAGTGAAATTGCCTAATATGGCTGGGGTGAGCCGGTACTACGTACTACTCATAAGTGACGTTCACGTATTCTTTCCAAATGCCATATCACCTTCTATTTACTCATCGCTTTTCAAACTTCAGCACTATCCCTGGTGAGATTCTCTCTACGAGTTAGAAAGTAGCAATCTAGATTCCATTTAGGATGGGAAGAAAATGTTCCTCAATACTGCTTCTATGTTGAGAGTTGCTGTTTAGAAAGAATTTTCTCACCTCACAAACACTGATATAATCAGGTGTTGACAAATTGAGGTATAACTTTACAAGAACTCGTAAAATCTGAAAGAAATGAAAGCAAAATTTAACAATTCTTTATTCACCAATATGTTGTGAAGGAATCAGCAAAAGAAACTGCACACGAGTTACAAAAGTTCGTGGATTCATGGTAACAACTAGACATATTTGAAGTATATAACGTAAATCTATAATGAGAGAAGTTTTAGTTCTTTATGTCATAAGAATAAAAGACTTTAAGCAAAAACAGCTGAAAAATGGTAGTGAAAATGTAAAATTGAATTGATTTGCAATATTAAACTGAATTCACGATATTGAATTAAATTCAAGTTAGCACTTCCAAATGTTTTTGTGTACGAAGAATGAGTACATATAGCAATAGTTTTAAGTAGGTTTCTCTTCTGGCTTACGTGGTAAAAAGAACATGACTGTGGTATGGGTTGCCTGGTTGGGTGCTACACTGTGTCTTAAAAACTCTTTTCAAAGCTATTTACACGTTTTGTGACAACAAGAAATTGTCCGTATAAAAAGTTAAAATAAAACCCATGGGTCGAGTCACATAGCGCACTGTCTTCTACATTAATTGAAAATACTATCTTAGGAAAGCTTTTGAAAGTAAATGAAAATTACCAGATTTCTAAACTGCCTGCCATCTAACAGTGTCATACAAATATTCAGACAGTAAGACAACATTTCTGCAACGTCGCCCTGCAAAACAAGAATATGTAGTAGCATAATGCAGGAGAAAGCGCTGATTGGTGATGTATTGACGTATGTTTCATGCACAAAGACGTTATGGTTGCTTTTCATTCGATGCATAGAAATACATTATTTCGGCTCCAGATGCCATTTAGAATGCTAGACTAGTAAAACAAAAGCTATGCTTCGAAATTATAAATCTGCTGCTTTCTCGTTATGGCTGACAATAGCATCAAGCCAAGAAATGGCAAAGGCCTTGTTAATAGATTAATCATATATACAGATTGTAAAACATTATTTATCAAACCAGGAAATATTCCAAAACATGCTTACAGATTGCAAGATAGCTTGTTCAAAAATATCCAGCCGTCGTGTTTCCAATGCAATTCCAACAGCCTGTAAACAAAGAAGAGGGAGATTCAGACAATGGTGAACAAAATCGAGATACAGGCAATTACAACCAGTTGCGGAATGAAAAGATTCTCTGCCTGTGAAAAGACCTTTAAAAACTTAAAAGGTTTCAAGAAAATTTATCCCAAGAAGCCCCGTCACTTCTCTCTGCTACTTTTTATATAAACGCTTGATGAAAAGAACTCTTACCTGTTTGTATTTGCCATGATCAAAGCATCTCTGAAACATTTTGTTGACAATGGCCTCTAGCCTGGGGTCGATCGGAGTCTCGTCTGAACCTTCGACTTTCTTAACCCTCAAGCTCGCATAATGGTCAATACATTTCGCTGTATTTGAAAAAATTGCTCAAATTCAAAATTTACTTCTTAATAAGCCAGAAGCGAGTACATCCTCAGCTTTACACAATTTTTTACCTAGAGAATAGGTATAGATATACGGAGGATTTAATTTACTTTTTAAGGAATTGAGTAAACGAATATAAAAACTTATATTTCCAAAACAGCTGTTCTTGGCAAGAAGGAAGAGCGCCATGAAATTCTGTCTTGGAATGAGGAAAAAAATCAATTTTTTTGATTTTATGCAAAATAATAGCGATTCCTTCAAGCATAAAGACACATTTAAAAAATATTCTACCCCAATCCCTAAAGCAAATTTAAGACCCATTTTGAGAATAAAAAACCATAACTAACAAAGTCTTTACAAAATTTCAAACATAGTAAACGGGCAATAATCAAAATTTCAGCCATTAATACAAAAAAGAGCCTTTCTCTACCGTTTTGTTTCCAACATTCAAGGAAAGATAAAAACATATCAATTTTTTGTTTATTCCATTCCTTTTACTCTGAAAGGTATCACGAAATTAAGCAAACGAATAAAAAGTGGAAAATTTACAATTTAGAAGTAGAAATTACCTAAGATGGTCTCCACATATTGTGAATGGCTGTTAACGTTAAAAAGCTCTCCAGCTCCAAGGGCGTACATCAAGGAATCTTCGAAAGCACCGAGATTATAATAAACCTTGATATAGAAAAAATAGATCATATTAACAGATAAATGCAACAGTCCTTAGTAAAGAGAAACAGGGGGAATTCATTAATTGCAAAAATAAACAAAAAACTGCTTACTTAATCCATTTTTGGTCATGCAGGTTACAGCTGTCGCCTGGAAAGTTTTTGCCTGCCTGCACCCTCTTAGAGGGGCTTGTTATAGCAACGTATTTTACTCACAGCTTATCAAACTTTGAAATGCCCCGCCCCTCCTTTTTTCGATGAAACAACTTTAGAAATATAGCCTAAGGTGTTTTAAACCTCTGCTATCACTAATTTGAATGGCAACAGTAAAAACATCATTCAAACCCTATTCAAGGTAGTTGAAAGGACCCCCTTGTCCCGGAAAAAGGCCGGATCCCTGTTTCCGAGTACATACTATGTGCATCGTAAATAAATCTTAGTAATACCTTTACATTTCTAGCATTTTTAACATTGTGGCAATGCTTTTAAGCCTGAAGCTAGATGAGCTTGATGATTAATGAAATTGGTAAGGAAACCCATATCGCTTTGTTAGATGTCATTGGCCTGGTTAGAAACATACACTCTAGAAAAGAAAATCTATATTTTTTTTCTAGTTTTATGGTCTTTAACTTAATATTCGGTCAGAAATACATTTGACAAGCTGCAATGTTCATATCAATGCAAAATATCTACAATGATTAATTGATATTTCATGCAACTCATTGCATTTATACTTCACAAGGCTATAATAGAATTTTCAATCAAATTTCGTGCACACAAGAAAGGTTTGGAACATAAATGGCAATAATGTTCCTCTCTCCTAACCTGGATAAAATGCAGTAAAATATAAAATGCTTTCAAAATTAAACCTCCAATCGAATAACCCACTAAAAAAGTAAATTATGAGTCAATCGAATTATTATGTAAATGAATGGTCTTTAAACAAATCCCTATATTTTTACACGATTTGCGATTCATTTCAAACTTGCGCGTCGCCCATGGTATGGCTTCTGGTTCTGCCAGGACATGAATGGTCCTTCTCTTTGGTTACTATTATAAATAACCCCTAATTCTTTGCTTTGAGAGGAGTTGGGAATAAGGAATGTGTTTATATTCTCTGCTTTAAACTTGAACTGTTTATTGAGTAAAAGCTTTCATTAAGAGACTGGATTTCATTAAGATTATGAAATGATACCTTAAGCCTCTGGTCACTAGCTCAACCTCTTGGAAACCAACTTGAGTGTCTTTGATTACAAATTTATTGGCAACCTGATATAAACAGCCTTGAGTAGCAAAATCTGACCATCGCTGATTAAGTCGGTATGAAAAGATACTGGAATCCTTGCTAAGAGAGGTTTATTACCAGAATGAACTCGCTTGATTAATTTCTTCGCTCCAACACTTATAATAGTGTTTTGAGCTTGGGCACTACTATTGTAGCAAGTCTGCAATAGTTTATAAGAATATATGCTACGCTTTCCCGAAATTGAGTGTTTAGAAAGTAACTTTGGGGGTTACCTAGGTATATCTGAAAACCAATTCAAAGAGACTCGAAATTTTTTCATAATAGGTTTCGTGCATAAACTCTGACAATTGTTGAATTATCACTATCAACTTAGATTATAACATTTACTTATTCAAAAAAGGTTTGAAAGATAAGAGCATCTAATATTGAGCAAAGCCATGCAGGATAATAGCTATTCCTTCGAAAACTTGTTCACAAGAAAAGGCCTGTCATTCACATATTCAAGCCCAATTTTTGAGTCTCTTCTCTTTTCCTTCATTTTTCTCCGTTTTGACGTCGGTTTTTGAAACCAAAAACAGTGGTGATATCCATTTGCTAATTCCTAAACTCTGTAAGAATATTATCGTATAGCTTACAGACCTATTCAAATGAAAAATCATTTTTCAACCCTCCTTAGCCTTAGCATGCATCACAGATCATAACACCTCCTCAGCTACAGTCTGTTATGCATGTATAGTCGCCCATGCTCAAGCTGATGACACTGCTTTTCGGCTGGTGAAAGGAAAGACGAGGAAAAAATTAGAAAAAGTTGCCTCGGTTCTGTCGACTTTGGTTTATTTCGACAGCCCTTTGACAGGGAAGCTCATTCCAGTTCTCTCCGTAATGACCCTGCGATTCTAAGGCTCTGAATGCGATTACTAAGTCTTGATAGCCGCCTGGGAACTGGCAAGAAACCTTATCAATGATCGCTTGACAGAGCTTTCCCGCAAGAAGAAACAGAATATCAGCAGCTTGACTTGCGTCATATGATAAGAATCCCAGTCTGCCCGTTAATACCAAGGATTATGACATAGTTTATGGTTAGCCGTTGATATTTCTAAGGTATCCTTTTAAAGCTTGTTTCTGCATAAAAGTTTAAATTTGACTGCCTCCTCGAGTCCTCCTCATTTGCTTTGTTCATTTCGGTGTTTCTCCTGTTTATGAATTGCACATCTGAACTTTTCACGTCACTAACGCCGTAAAACAAAATCCCAGCCAATGCCAATCCTTTTCACACAGAAAACAAACATATTCAGCAGAAAGAAGAACTAAATGTGATTTATTTTCAATGACTAATACTTATGACTCAGTATTCAAGTGAAATTCTGCTGAAAACGATTGCCTTGACGCTCTCAATCTTAAAACCTCTTGTGGAAAAATGTGCCCTTGAGTAATTCAAAAATATATTGAAATTCTTGCATGCAGCAATTATATCAATTTTGAGTAACTCACGAGCAGAGGTTAATATTACTGCTTCATTCTTGGTGTTATCTGATATTGCTGGTATTGTGGTTGGCTATAACATTCTTTGGGGCCTCAGTTACTTTTTGCATTGATTCTTGATCTTGTTATTTCTGTCGCAACCAGCCCCAATAAGTAATTAAGTTATGAACCAACTTAACAATGTGTTTTCTGTCAAAACTTTTCTCTTACGAAATTTAAAGAAATTCAATGAATCAGGAAATTAGATCTTACCTTAGAAGCAACTAGAGCACAAAGCTTGCGATACCTAAACTGTTCATCTTCGTAAAGTTCTTCTCTAAAAATAATTCAAAAACTCAAACAATTACAAAGTTGTAAAAGTACCTACAAAATTACATTTATTATGACTACAGATAACATCATCGACATTACTCAAATGAGAGAAAAAAGAAAGAAAAAATAACCAAATTGAATGAAAAAAAAATTACTTTTCTTTGAACACTTCTAAACAAATCTAATCCAGAACACTTCAAGAATTACTTATATCCAGAACATTGTTGCAAAATGGCAATTCCCTTTATTCCATTCAAATGCTTTTCTTGATAACTGGTAATTGGACAACATTAGTATATTAATATTTTATCTTCAGCCAAGGCAACAAACAAACATAACTTCTTATCATAGCAAAAAAATAAGGTTCTCTTACATTTTATTGACAATCTCTGCAATTTCGGCCCAGAACTCATCAACTATTGTATCCAGTTTCTTCAAGGCATAATGCTATTAGAACAAAGAAAGCAAAAATCAAACATCTGGTTGATGTTCTTCAGAATAACATACAGTTGATTCTGCTTACAGTCACTTCGCTCAAAGTCACACTTCCGGTTACTGTCAAGTCACATGAAACTTAGACCCCAAAATGCAAAACTTTTCCATTTAACTCTATTTACAGTTACATTCCATTTACAGTCGCAGGTATTCAAGCCACTTTTGGTGTGACTATAACCAGGGTCTACTGTATTTTCTAAGTGACTGTGGAGTCCAAAATTTTTCACATACAGTGGCGGGTCAAGCCAAAAAACTGACTTTGCCCAAATTGGATAAAGGATCAACCATACGCTTTAAGAGGATAGTTGTTGTCTATAAAGAGACAACAAGCTTCTAGCAAAACATAAAATAATTGATATGTTGCAATAGGGCCATCAAAAGTAATTATTAAACTGAATGTATACCAGCTGTAGGCTTACAGACCCACCCATTGACCGTACAAAACACTTGAGATTTGAGAAGTTGAAACGCAACAAATTATCCTGCATTAACCAACTCTGCCAACCCATGTAATTGTCAAAAGTAAAAAGATTAAACTGAAAGAACTATTTAGGGCTTTAAACATCAAATGCCACTGCAATCAAATGCCACTGCAAGCATGCTTACAGCAATGCAACAAAAAGGAGCAGTAAAAAAAATGACAAGGGAAAAGAGCATATATGGCTATGATTAAAACCTAGCAGCAACACAGGTGATGAAACTTGTAACACCAAGTAGTAGGCATAGCCCCTTGACTTTACTTCATGTAATGATTACAGTTTTCTTAATTGCATGTTTGATACTGCTACCAAACAAGAACTACTTTTTGCTGAAACCTTGTACAACTTCAGCTCTATAGTTGTCCCTAGGAGAAAAAACTAAAAAGTGTGTGCCAAAATGGTCCTAGTTATGTCACAAATTCTTTGTCATCTTGGAAGGTAGAGGCCAAATTTTGAGCAAATGTATTTATGATGCAATAGCTTTGTTTGACCCAGAAAAAACTTTAACAAGATCCCTACTTTGTTGATGCTGAGTTTGGCTAACAAGACCATCTATTCAATTTGAAAATATCTTAAGGGTCTCGGCAAGAGATGTCCAACATACAGCCTTTAACAATTTGTTCTTTGTGTTATGTTTATGGAGTGTTTATGTAGAAAATTTTTTATGATTCATTTCTAGGCATACTTTCCTATTAAAAGGCATACAGTTACATTTTTAGGCATATCTTCTCAGTATTGTAATATTTAATATTTAAATCACTTTTCTCATACCTCCACTGAGAAATATTTAAATCACTTTTCTCATACCTCAACTACAAGTTTAATGTGAAACTGAGATTTTAATATAAACTTTCTATAAACAAGAAATGTAACATTTCACATTGATAACATTTTCATGTACCTGTTTATGAATCTTTTAATCTACATAGTTTTTCGTGTGACTATAAACAATTATCAATTTACTGTTCAATACAATATTTGCCAATGATTTACAAAATTTGGCCTGCCTGTGTGCAGTAAGATTTTGTCTAGGCCTCTGGTAACTTGCTGCATCAATGGCATGGTGGGGCATGGTCTCCAAAGTTTCAAGTTCCAGCAAGGCTCATGAGAGCCTTAGCAAAATCTTAATTTGGTCAAGTAAGTATTGGGGTATAAAAATATTGCTCAGTCAATACTCTTTTCTTCTATGAAACTGACACCATAGATGTATTTTTAGAACAACATGGGTTTCAAGACTAAGAATCAATTTCTAAGGTATATGTTAATGCAGATGCATTCCTATTTTTCACAATTGTTTCTACCTAGCATCTGAAGGTAGTTTCAAGGACACTGAGAAGCTTATGCTTTCATAGGATAGAGCAGTGTCCTGGTCCTTCGTCTTGATGTGACCACACCTTCTGATTCCTACAAGAATTACAGAGTGATGGGGTCTCTTCTCATGTTGGGTGAAAGTTTGGACATATCAGGGACTCGAACCATGGACTCTTGGGACCTCTAACACACATGTCATTCTCAATTGAGCCACCCATTCCTTTAGAGGTTTCTTGGATTTCTGAGGAGTGCTTTCTACTGCAGAGTACCCTTTCAATGGCTTTAGTTTGGATAGCAAACTGACAGAAAATTAATACATTGGAAAAATCTCAAATTTCCCCAAAAAGTAAAATGCAGTTGAAATTCTGGAGAGCATCATGCAGGGATTTTTTTTTACATAAATATAACTCTTAGAAGAACAATTTAAGGTTTAAAAAATCCATTCCATTTACAAAAGATTATGATTTTCTAGTCTGTGATAAACAAAAACATACCTTCAAATCAACTTCTTGATCATCAAGTAGGGCAATAACACCAGCTAAAGAAAGATTTGAAAATTAGAAATAATATCAAAAGTAACAAAACTTCATAATGAGATCGAAGAAATGCTACACATGGAAATCATAAGCATTCACATTATAAAAAAGCTCAGTGTATCTTAAAATCCAGGATAAGTACAGAGTAGCAGCCTAACGAAAGAAAGAGGTTTAGCCATGTGTGAATAAATTGCTAAGAAACTTTTTGTACACATTTCTTGCTAGTCAAGTAACATGCTAATTTTCGTAGCTAATTGCTGAAAGTAATGTCGACATACAGTTCTTAGAAAGGGTTTGGTAGATTAAATGAGAATTCTTTGAGTTTTAGTTTCGCCAACTAACACATTTTAAAGTGGATCCTTGGCCTATCTTTGAGAGAATCTTCGAGCACCAAAAAATCAAAAGATATTGAGATCCTACCTGCCGATGTGAGTGTCATCATTTCTTGCTTTTTGAAAACAATATCCCTTGAAAACACGACGCTAACTTGCTACCAATTCAAGGGAAATGGCCTAGCCAAAAAAAATTGCGCATGCGTCTTTTGGTCTTCATTCAAAAATCTTCCAAAGTGAGGCTGTCGCGCGGAAGCGCCAAGAGAATCAAGATTTTATGTAGAAAGTGACTATTACACTTTGATACCTTGATAATATAATCGTATCAAAATCTAGTTGTGTTTTATTTGTTTTTTAATTCGTTTTTTGAGCAAAATACGAAAAGTTGACGGCGTCAAGTGACATAGCAATTCCTCTCTCTTGAACGAGGCAGAAGAACAAAAAAGATGGCGGGCCTAAGCGCCTATCGAGATCAACACTTCAAGGTTTAATTCCATATTCATTTATTTAAATGTAAAAAAATATTTTAAAATTTCGTCATTATCATCTTTAGCCAACCTCCTAATTTTTTAGTCTGAACTTGTTTAAGATGTTGCCATTTGCTCTTTCACCACGCTGCCTTGAATGTTAAAACACATTGATAATAAAATTAGAAGTTAATAAAAGATGCTTGTATTTCATTTGAACTTGTTATTGCGAGAGTCACGAACTACAACCAAACAATGAAATCATCCTCCCGTAAACAACATGACTAAAAGTTGTTAAAGTCCATTATTGTCCTTCAGTATATATATTATATATAAAACACAATATATGACACCTCCCCTTAAAGTTATAGAACCACTGAAAATTATTTCTACTACATACGTCATCTTGTCAGGATGGAACTTTTATTGTTCTTTTGACCTTGTAAAGATCAGGCTTCTTTGTATTGGAGGAGATGACACTGTCAACTTGAGGGCACTGTGTTCTTTTGTCTTGAAAGACAATTCCTATAGATTTTCTTGTGGAGACTATCACATGAATTGATTATCATGTCCTTTGTGTGTGGTAACATTATAGTGGCCAATGTTGATCTTCTTTCTTTGCAGGTACCAACTCTCTCTCTCTCTTCCACTAACTAATTTTACTCTTACAGAATCTCCTCTTTCAAATTCATGAAGTGGTCTTTTTAGGCCTGGATCCCTCGGGCATGTCTCCACAACACCTAAAACTGTCAAGACATGCTTTATATTGCACGGGCAGCTCCATGCTTTGACTTACTATTCTTTTTCTCTTGTGTTTCTTGTTATTTTCATGTTTTTGTATTTACCCAGTGTGCCACTCCGTTTTGGTCAAAACATGAAACATTATATCTTCTCATATCCTTTAATCAGGCTTACTTTGCAGAGATTGAAGGACTACTTTTTGAATGCTTCTGTCTTTGCTATCCCAATAAAACAATGCTTTTTCAAATGTTTCCTTTTTTTAATGACTCCACTTTGAACAACGTTTTTGAATGACTCCGGTTTGGTATCCAATTACTCAGCTTTTGAGCGTATTAATGGAACCCAAAATCAAATAGTATAGGTTCTCAAACGAATACTGAGTAATGGCCTAAAAACTTGTATGCTTTTTGTTAATTTATTTTTTTTTTCAAAAAAAATCTTCTAAATTTTGTAAAAATTATTTGGTTGTATGAAAACCTTGAATACTTTTTCAAACACCCCTTCATATACCTACATCGCATTTAAAAGCCTATCAGATCTTAGTATACTATCCTTGATTGGTAAATTGTCCCTTAGATGTCTGTTGAACAACATTTGTGCTGGACTGTAATTCATACTTTTGATTGGCATCTTTCTTTAGCATAACAATGCTAGGTTTGGATCTGTTCCATCCTTCTTGCATTTGCACAACATCATCTTCACTATCCCAACATACTTCTCTGCTTCACTATCACTTTAAAGGTCATATGAACCGAAAAACGATTTTCACATATTTGGTAGAGCTTTTTTCGCTTGTCAGGATGCCGTTTCCCGTTTCTTTCTACGACTTGAACTTGTCTAGATATTGCGCTCGAAAGCCCAAAAAAGTGACCTTCAAAAGCGATGCCACTCGAACGCGGTCAGATCAACGCTGTGACGTAATAGGTTTGACACGTCCCTTCGATAGTCATTGGAACCTTTGTCAGTGGTGTTGATAAAAAAATCTTGCAAAACAAGATAAAAGCACGAAACTTTATCAGAATACAGAGTTTGAAAGGCTAAAAAAGATAGGATGCATATATTATCTGGCAAATGCCCCCATGTGCTATTTTTAGACTGGGGTACTCGATTCCAGGCCTTTGAAGGGGTTTTTCCATAAATCAGTTAAATATCGCGATAAAAGCATGAAACTTTGTGAAAATACTCAGTTTGATACGCTGAAAAAGATAGTATGCAGACCCAATGTGGCAAATTACTCCTTGTGCTATTTTTAGACTGGGGTACTCGATTCCAGGCTTTTGATGATTTTTTCCCAAAAATCAGTTTTAAAACACAATTAAAGCAAGAATCATGCTGCAAGTACATGACTTGATCGCTGAAGATGGGATACTGCCCCCAACTGTCAAGTACCCCTTGAGCAATTTTTAGACGAGGATACTTGTTCCCAGGCTTTTGAGGAATTTTTTTCAAAAATCAGTTGCAAAACACAAGGAAGTCCAAGAAAATTTGAAGGCTTTTCCCATAAATCAGTCATGGAACTTTGCAAAAAGTACGTAAAACAAGATTGTTCTAGAGAACTATATGCTCATTGTGCAGCAAAATTATTTTGTAAGGATTATCAAATTGAAGTTATGACATGGTAATTTGCATTGAGAAAATTTAAAAAAGGCTTTAGGAAAATAAATCTCAAGTACATAAAAAGAATTCTATGCATTTCAAGTTCATATCAAATACATTTTAGGTAGGATTCCAAGCATTGAGCTGGGCCCGGCCTTGCTTTCGGCGGCCCTGGGGAAATGCTAGATGTTCGTTCTCGTTCAGTTCCTTGTGACAATACTTCCTGATTCAACAGCAAGTGTTGATTTTATTTCACAAGTGAGAGCAGTTCGTACAGCCTTTGAGTCTTGTCCTTGAAATATGAGCCGGCAAGGAGGAGAACTTCTTTATGAAGAAGATCCTTGAAGGGGTTTTATTCTGTTACACCGTTATTCATGCCTGTTTGTTAAACCATCAGATGTGAGCGTGACCTACGTCTCGTTTATTCCTCGGCTGCAGCAGTACTTCCTTGTCTGATAAGCGATTATGTTGTGCACTTTGTACACGAGCACCTGTGATAGAAAAATATAATCACGATTCAGTCTTTCCCTTTTCCCACCAATTTAATGAAATAGAGTTCGCCAATCTAGTGAAAGCTTACACACAGTAAGGTCTGTTTATCAGGCTAGTCTCCCGTTTGCTTTAGGCCAGTAGGCCAGGCTCGTGTCTGTGAAAGTTTCTGCCTTGAGATACTATAAATTGTAAAGATAATGGAAAAATAAAGAATTTAGTTTACCTTTGATCCAAGGCAATATGTCTCTTAAACCAAACTCCAGGCTGTGTTGATCAAATGCAATCTTTATTCCCAGGACACAGAAGAGAAAAAATATTCTGTGCCCTGGATGGTCCTAGTCCTCTCCCTCACATCGTTCCATGAGGATCGATGATTCTTCTTCGGAGGATACCGGTGTTCTGTGCTAGTAAAGCTAGAAAGGCCACCAAATTCAGCCAATGCTCCCTCACTCAATTAATTCATTCGAAGATGGATCCAAATCAACATTACCATACGTCTCCTCTGCAGTTGCTTAAAGTTTATGTTTGTTTACTACGGCTTCAAGGCCAAGAACATGTCAAACCTATAACGTCACTTCCTGTCTTCTTGTCCCAGACCCCGGTATCACTTTTGATCTCCAAAATTGAGTTTTAAAGTTGAAATTTTGGTGTCTTACAGGTATCTTTCGAAAACTTAACCAAGATTTTCGCATTCAGCGCCATCAAATTGCGTAAAATGGCCAATAAAAAATTTTGTTTCATATGACCTTTAAGGATATCTTGGCTTTGGCATAGTGAGTTGAAAGTTCCATAGTCTTACGAAATCTCTGAATTTGTGAGAATTAAACAGCATATTGTAAGCACAAATGTTAATTGTACCTAAGAGAAGCAGGGATAGACATTCAGAAGTAAACATAATTTTCCTTATTGAGCCACTGGAAAAGATTCTAAGTTGCTAAAAACTCCAATCAACTTCACTTGTTCCTTGAAAAACGTTTGAGGATTATAGAGAATATTATGCTATCTGCCAATTCTCATCCCACTCATGTAACTCATAAATCAGAATCTTCAGCTGCTGGAGTCTCAATCTGGTTTGTACCCTGGATTTTACTAAATGGTCTAAGAAGTCTAGATTTTACAGTAAATTTTTTATTCCTTTTTAGGGATCAAGAGCTGAACTAGAAACAAAGCTAGAAGCAAGTACGACATTGTACATTGGAAATCTCTCATTTTACACTACAGAGGAACAGGTATACGAACTTTTCACAAGGGCTGGAGAGATGAAACGAATTATAATGGGTTTAGACAGAGTTAAGAAAACACCATGTGGCTTTTGTTTTGTTGAGTATTATACAAGAGAAGATGCAGAAAACTGTATCAGGTATGTCAGTGGTACAAGACTTGATGACAGAGTTATTAGAGTTGACTGGGATGCTGGCTTTCAGGAAGGTAGACAGTATGGAAGAGGCAGAAGTGGAGGTCAAGTAAGTAATGGTTTTATCACTTTTTTCTGGAGATATTTGAAAATGATGTCAGTCAAGCCTGATCTGATTCTTATTTAACAGAGACAATAAGACAGGGCCTTCAGCACTCCAAACTGCTGCTTTTTGTATCCTGCAAGACTTTATTCTTCTGAACTTCTAGGCAGCAATGACCTAGTGCCTTATGCACTTTAACAATCTAACTAAAAGTCCAGTTTCATCAATTTAAGTTGAGACAAACTTGTTCTCTTCTAGAAGAAGCAAAGCTGCTTTTTCTTTTAGGGTTTAAGTCCCCAAGTATGATGCCAAGTTTGGCTTTTCATGACATTCAATTTTAAAAAACTGAAACAGAAACATGCTTATAGCTAATCAAAATAATACATTGAGTTCAATATTAGCTTTAATCAATATACACTTTTAATGGCATTTTTTCATAACCACACTGTTTTCATGCTCTTGCCTTTATCCTAGAGAGAATATATAACATCTGTATCTTGGTTTATTTGATTGAATTAATTTAACGATAATTTCTACAGGTCAGAGATGAATACAGAAAAGAATTTGATCCTGGAAGGGGTGGTTTTGGTCGCTTGATGCAGATGAAGCTTGGAGTAACAGATATGATGACAACACCATAAGTTCTTATCCTAATCAAACTATGAATGTTCTGTAACCAAACAAATGGTAGACAATTAGCTACGTGCAGTGCCATACCACCAAAAGACTACAACAGGTGTCAAACAAACTGATAGTAGTAACTTTTTTATGTTAGTCAGTCAAACTTGTAACCCACTGTACTAGTTTTATCATTTGTGTCATTTTAATGATGTGGATAATGATCCTAAACATGTACGTCATGATACCAGCAAACATTTTGGCGAATGTTACCAGCAAACATTAATTTCTCTCTATTTCCTGCAAGGTAGCTATTTGTCTGATGTTGTGTGCTTAATGCTAACTTAAATCATTCTAGGTTAATTTAATGATTTTTCCCATTAAGATAGATCCCTGGGCAAGCTTTAGAGATGTTGTTATTGTAGTCAGAGAGCTATCCAGATGGTTTATAAAGAACATAATTTGTGATACCATTTGATCTAAGCTGATTATCAAAATTTTGAGCCATTTTTTTAGCCAAAGCAATGTGCATTGTTTATTGCAATAAATTTGCTACTGATATAGAAATTATGTTGGAAATAGATCATCACTCTCGCTGCCAAGTATACAGAAATATAAAAATTTAGAAAGCCTCTTGGTAAATTCTACATCATAAAGCGAGCTTTTAATTTTTTCTACATTGATTTCCAAAAGAAAATTTCCTGAATTGAGTTCTGAAGTATACTATTTTAAGAGTTTCTAAATTTTGGCCATATAATCCGAAAAGCAGCAAAAAATAACAGATATAATTCAAAATTGTGTGAGATATGGCCAATGAACAAATTTAGGTCTGCTAACTGTTATTCTGGCCTGGTTCATGAAGTTATGCACCAAGACCAAATTACAAAGGTTTGATGGGGAAAGAGTCTGTGTGTATATTTGGTCATACTTCAGCCAGTTCAACTGATTCAACTGATTTTGCACATTTAGCCATATTTCATAATGCTCCCTTTTCTAAAGAAAATTTTAAAAAACCAGTTCTTCTCATAACGGGTAGTAAAACAATGTTGCCAAAATAGCAACTGATTTGTTGTTGGGGAATTGGGCAGTAGTGTGTCTTTGTCAGACTGAGATTCAAATTCTTCAAATAAATTTTTTAGACTCCTTATAAACTATAGCTATTGAGTCTGCACCCAGGCTCTCTCAAAGGGGCTGATAATTTTAACAGGTCACAACACATACAAGTTGCTTGAAGATTACAGTAAGCATAAACTCAGAGAAGCAAAGTAAAACAAGCTTGTAACTAAACTAAACCATGTCACATCATATGTGGTTTTGTAGATGCTCTTCAACAAGATTCATCTTTCATAGATTTGCCTCAAAACTCCTGCGCATTGACATTCTTAGATCACAAAAACTTATGTAAGTTTTGTTACTATGCTATAAAGTAATATGACTTCAACGAAAAGCAACCAACCTGCCAACGAAGAAATTTTATCCGTAGACACCATTCACAGCAGTGTTCTACAAGGATCTGCAATTGGTCCTATACTTTTTATGTCAAAAATGTGTCACATTGCACAAACTTCACTGTTAGATGAGAAAAAACATCTACTTCACAGGGGGCCTTGCCTTTCCACCCCCACGTTTTTTGTTAAATTGTTGTTTGATAACTGTAAGACCTAGGAGGCCGTTCACTCAGGGGGAGAATTCTGTTTCATAACTAGAAAGGAGCATGCTGATATACTTTATCGTGCAATCTTTTGGTTGTGCAGCCTACATAACCAGAATGAAACTACTATATAAAGTTATGGATGGAAGGGCTCTCCTTGTATTTTAAACAATACGATACAAGGATTGACATCAGTGAATCTTTCTGTGATGGCCTGTTTAATTTGGCTAACCAATCGAAATGAAATGCGACCGATCCATGGTTTTAGATAGACCCGGTACTTTCTTGAACCAAACTTTAATGTAGAGAAGCTAAATGGTAACATGTTTCGGATAAATGCCAGTGCCTGGTTGTTGTTCCATCTAGCAGCTTTAGATTCGATTAACACAGTGGCGTACCCAGGGTGTCCGGACCCCTCCATTCCCCCCCTTGGGTACGCCACTGGATGAGCATGAAAAGAGAAACAACTATTGCGTAGACAGAAGGATATCTATTTAGCCCTTGGGTCCCATGGATTATTTCTTCGTTAGGCAAGCAGTACTGATTTGGCATTAACAGTCGTGTGCATGCGTTTCTGAATGGCCTTCTTCGATCCACAACTGAACAAATATATATTTCCTACCTTTTAATTTTGATCATTGTTCTGACGTTTTATGCTTTGGAGAGTGTCTGACGAAAAGCTTAACTATGGCTTAAAATGTTTGCTTTTGTTGAAGCAATTTTTCAAATCAAGAAGACCCAGCTGGAAAAGGAAAAACTTTTTTCAAGGCACAGTGTCCGATATAACCATTTTGGATAATTTACATCTAATGATTAGAATTCGCATAGATAAGCATAACATTGCCTTTTCTAGATATGATCCATGCAATAACATTTGCTAGTTTGTTAGATTAAGTCAACAAAACTTAAAAAGTTTCTTATTTCTGTAAATGTTAATGTTTTTTACAGATATGGCCCCAAACAAATTAAAATCACGTGTATAAAGGCGTCAGCAAAAATTCTGAAACTCCTCTCATTTTAGCATTGTTTGCATGGGACCTGAGCTAAGTATACTTGTTAATAAGATATTACTAAGTTAAGCGTTCATTTGCTTGAAATTGATTAAAATCAAATAAACTTAAGGCAGATACTCGAGAGAGTCAAAATGAAACCTCAGTTGAAGTCAATTAGACCCTGATGCTTTCATTATAAACATTTACATGAACTAAAACAAACGGATGACATAAAATACCTTGGATCACAGTTAGATGACAAATTTTACAGGAAATTCCAAATTAGAATAGTAAGTAAAAACTGCAAATTAATCTCAAAATTATCCAAATTGCAGCTTTTCTTGCAAAAAGAATGCTCAAAGTCATTGTTATTTTAAACTTTGTCTTGTAACAAGCTATATATTTTATCGCTTACGTGCATTTCTAATTTCAACCATATAATTCCCTAATGCTAATTTTTTCTAATTTTTTACTGTGTAGTTCCTTGCATTTTATTAGCTTTATTGCAGGTCCAGTCTCGACAAGCTTTGCCTTTGCAGGACTACGTTGAATACATTCCTTTTCTATTATATGAAGAAGGTGACTTTTCCGCTTCTCCGCTCCTTTTATCCATTTCTGTGCTCGAATATATGTGGCCCTGGTTCCTAGGTTACTGAGACCAGTTAGGGCTCCACCAGTTAGTATCTTAAACTTTCTACTGCCCTCTAGATTTCGTTTAAGCTATATACAGTTACTTAAGATGATGGTCTTAGTATTTAGTTAGTATCTGGAAAAGGTGGCTAGGAAGTCAGCACTGCAATCGAATCTCATCCAAAAACCGTTCAAAGGACAGATGCATTCTAAAAGAACTATAGTTTCATTTCTAAAATCTCTTTAAAAGAAGCTCCCTGACAAGACACGAATCACCTTAGTGGTGATCTAGTGTGTACGTAGCCTAGCATGAAGAAAGGAGGAAGCGGGAAAACTTTCAATATATTAGACCGATGTTAACTGGACAGCCACAGACTGTCCGTAAAAATGAGCATAGGATCACAAAGGTATCGAGTGAATTTGCTTTTGTGGGTAGCCTGATAATTTGACACTGGTGTTTATCGTTCGCTTGTGACGTGATTAGATTTAAGGGTCAAAATTAAAGTAGAACCTGAAATTGAATCACGATAAGGGTAAATTCTGACACTAACTAATTGTAAAATATTATTATCATAAGCCCAACCAGTGGTTAATGAAAAGTTCTAATTGAATTCACAGTTAAAATTACTGTCCACAAACATTTATGAGGAAGGCATTCTTCTTTACTTAAATTTTGACACTTTTTTATCCAAAAAATGCCCATTAGTCATCCATTTAGCAGAATTGCCAAAAATAAGATACTATGCTCTTATAAAAATTGTCCCAACTTTAACCACAAAATGTATGGACGTTTTGTGGCCATCACCAAAATATATAGAAATTGTTTTCGAACTTTCATGTTGTTTAGAAGTCCTTGAATTTCCCTAAGTTTAAAGGATTGGGCAATAAAATTTAGGTACTGGGGAATAATTTTTTATGGATAAGTCTTAAAACATCACACAAAATTGTTTAGTATACCAATGGTATTTCCCGTTGATATAGAAGAGACCATAGTCACTAATAAAAGCTAATATATAACATGGCCTCGCTAAATATTTGTCGCAGAGTATATATGTTTCACAGATAAAAAGAATTTCTGAGCTATGACTCTGACTATTGTTTGAAGTTTCTTCCGCCGAGTCTAATTAGCCATTGAAGTATCTTTAGAAATTGTACATCTATGCTATCATGTATTCAAGTTCCCACCCAGCATCTCTAGAAGTGAAACATTCAAGAGATTCCAATGTCATTTCCAAAGAGCTTAAGATATGATATGAAGAACCCGTGAGCTAGGCCAAGACGCTACCAACTCTTAGGTCTTCCTGTATTTGCTACAATGTCACAATAAAATAAAATTCACTTCAGTTTTTGTTTCTTGCTGCACGATTGACTCTTCTAATCCCGTCGTGGTTACGTATATGACAAAAACGAATTACCCCTCAAAAACCGCTGTCGTCAGTGCTCTTTCCTTTTGCTGATTCGCTTGAAATCAACCGTTTCGCGAAACCGCAGGACCACTCGCGGTTACCGCGGCGATTTCCATAACTAATGTTTGCAGGCTTCATTTTAAGGGGATCGTCAATGCTACAGAATCTTTAATTGCAAGCCATCTGGTTTTCAGAAGGCCAACGGGTTAATTTGGACATCAGTAGACAAGAATAAGGCAAGAGTCATTGAGATCGCGGCATGGTAAGTCAAGCTCACATAGCTACGGTCAGCAACTATATATACCTTTCATCCATCTTCATCATTTAAGACCTCATCTTCTGCCGTCTCTTTACAAAGCATTTTAATGCTTTCCAACGGCCCAACAAAATTTTCCACTTCCCATTTTTTAGTCTCTGAAATGCTGGCTATTGCAACCATTGCTGGGACACTATTCATTCAATTCTACGCAGCGCTTTTTCATGTGAAAAATGCAAGAATGGACAGGTCTTGCTTTGCGTTGGACCGCAAAATTTCCTCAGGCTGACCATGAA